ACAGTACGTTGTTTACCTCTTCGATTATTAAAAATCCTAAAAGTAAGCTACACAACCTAAATCTAGAGACTTAAATACAAAATCTAATCTAATAGCATCACAATGTGAGCATAATCTAATAGTACCAATTGATATTATATTGCACAACCTTGAAAGACCAGGCAAATAATGAGATCTGACTCATTTATGAAAATATAAACACTAAGTCTTAATTGGCTATCTTTGCTCCAGGATAGCCACACAATTATCCAACTAAGTCTTAATTGGCTATCTTTGCTACAGGATAGCCACACGATTATCCAACTAGACTTTAAACTATATGCATGACACGAATATAAACACTACATAAAACCAATCACAACAATCACAAAGATCCAAAGCACCAACAACCCCTGACGCCAACCCAGCGTAGATATTAGATTTACAATCAGTCAAGTTCAGAAATTTATAAGATTCAATGCAATGGCAATCACCCTATCAACTCTTTTGCTTCGTTCTCATTGGCAAGGTAAAGGTCTATATCCCCAGACTCCAGTAGCTGTAGACGAGGTAATTTAAAATCCCGAACCATCTGACCAAATATAGAGATGTGTGCTACTTTATTTACCTCTAAACCCATCTTTTAAAATGATACAAAAGTCTCTTCTTCAAAACAACAAGCACACAGAGGTCTGCCAAGGAATATACCATAAAAGTTTTCTCTTGTTTGGCCAACTTTACAGCCGCTTGAATAACTTCCAAATTAAAAGTACTATATCTCATTAAAAACAAAAACAGTGACAAAATCGACCTAAAAAGAAGGGCTCCACCTTAAAAATGCATTAATTGATTCATTCAACAGAATTATATCAATTGAAAAGGTGTCAATTATTCTAGGAATATTTATCAAAAGGAATGTTTATCAAAAGGAAAAAATATAAACAATGCAATTTCCTTATCATACTGAACAACAATTAAGAGCATCCGAAGATGGAATTTCCTAAACTTGTTGCTGATGAAGCTGAACAGTCTGATGGTTTAAATGAAGTGGAGAAAGGTGGGGAGGCTAAAATCTATACCACATAAGTATAGTTTCATAGTCCCCTAGCCATTTTTTGCAACTACACATATCAGCACTCCATTCATATTATTTAAGCCATTGTAGTTGAAGTCATATATCAGAAAAGTGATTGATAAAGACCAATGAGTAGGTATAAGTAGAAAGGCATGTCATACCATTAGATATCATGGAGTTGTATATTCCAACTCGTTTGATATTCTCCCTATGGAGTTCATCAGTGTTAGGGCTCAAATTTAACATAACCAGTAGTGATAAATTGGTGCTCATGAAGAACCTTATCAAAGCAACCCATAGACATATTAGATGGGATATATTGGAGGAAAGAGTACACAAAATCAATGTTGTTAAAAACGTTACGATTCATAATGAAACAAAGGCAAAACGATTCAAATCGCATTTTGAATCGCAAATTTCGTGTTTCGTACTTTTCAAATGATAGAACCCTAAAAAACGAAACAGAACGAAACGATGGATTAAAAAAGAAAAGAATAGGCCTGGTAGTGCCATCAATAGCGTGAGAAGCAGTAGAAAAGACGAAGAAAGAAGAAGAAGAAACAGCAGGAGAAGAAAAAGAAAGAAGAAGCGGCTAAAGAAGAAGAAGAAATAAGAGGGAGAAGAAGTCACAGAAGAAGAATAAGAAAGAAGAAAGAAATTTGGGCATGGGATGGGATTTGACCGTGCCGGTTGGTGGCGGATCGCCGGAGACGAAGAAGGAGGGGGTAGGCGGCTACCAAGAGAGGAGGAAGAAGAAGAAGAATATTGGAGAGGCTAAGGTTTTGATTTAATTTTGTTTTTCCTTCTTTTTGTTTTTTCTTTTCTTTTATTTAACCAAAGAAACAAACCTAAAAATAAACAAAAAATAGGCTAATGTTCTAAAAATTAAGAGGAATATATTTTTCATAATATTTTCCTAAATCCCTTTGCTGTTCATGTAAATTTCTTTTTCTAAATCACCATGAAGAAAAACTGTTTTTACATCCATTTGTTTCAGAAACAAATCTTCTTCTACCACTATCGATAATACAGTTCTAATGGTAGTTAGTTTAACTACTGGAGAAAAAATTTCATTAAAGTCAATACCTTCCTTTTGTTGAAAGCCTTTGACTATAAGTCTTGCTTTATATCTTTTGCTGTCATCGGGCTCCTGTTTGATTCTATTCACCCATTTGTCCTGCAAAGCTTTCTTACCTTTTGGTAACTCAGTAAGTTGCCATGTTTGATTCGTCATGAGGGAATTCATCTCATCCTTCATGGCTAACTCCCACTTAATAGAATCTTCCAATTGAACTGCATCTTCATAACATTCAGGTTCACCTTTGTCAGTCAATAATATATAATTCAAAGTAGGGGAATACCTCTGTGGTGGTCTGATAGTTCTACTAGATCTCCTAACTGTTGTAGGTGGGGTTATTTGAACTTCTTCAGTTTCAACAACTGGTACATCAGGTTCAACAACCTTTTCCTCAGATTCCACAATTGGTTCCTCATGGGTAGTTGTACTATGATCTTCAATTCTTGTTGTCTTGGTCTCAACTCTGGGAAGACTGATGTACCTAGTCTTCTCTTCTGTACTTTCATCTGACTCTCACCTTTTAGATTTATCATTTGCTCTGTCCTTGTATTGAATATCCTCATTGAAGATCACTTTCTTGCTTCTGATAATTTTCCTGTTTTGCTCATCCCAAGACCTGTAGCCCATCTGAGCTCCACCATAACCAAGAAAATAACACTTCTTAGATTTAGCATCCAGTTTACTCTTGTCTACGACATCAATGTGAAGGTAAGATATACAGCCAAAAACCTTTAAATGAGAAAGGGTTACCTGTTTACCGCTCCATACTTCTTCAGGCAATTTGAAGTCTAGTGATGTGGCCGGCCTCCTATTGATCAGATAGGTCGCAGTGTTGTTTGCCTCTGCCCATAACATCTTAGGCAATCCCACATGTAATCTCATGGTCCTGGCACACTCATTCAACGTCCTGTTCATTCTCTCGACCACACCGTTTTGCTGTGGTGTCCCTAGAATAGTCTTTACCATCACAATTTCATTGTCTGCACAATACTTTTTAAATTCCTCATCAACATATGCACCACCATAGTCTAACCTCAAGCTTTTACTTTTTAGACATGTCTCATTCTCAACCATAGCCTTCCAAGTTTTGAAAACAGAAAATACATAAGACTTATGTTTGAGAAAATAAGTCCATACCTTCCTGTTTGAGTCATCTATAAAAGTCACATAATATCTGAAACCTCCAAGAGAAGAAACTTCAGAAGGCCCCCACACATCAGTGTGAACTAGCTTCAATTTTGTAGGCTTTGGTGCTGCACATGTTTTTGAGAAACTGATACGCTTCTGCTTTCCAAATACACAACCTTCACACAGCTTGTGGTTAACTGCCTTAAGTCCATGTAACTTCCATGTAGAGTGAAGGTTCTCTGGCTCGTGCACTTTAATATTTAAATTGTGCCTGTGGATTTTTCCCCTAAGTTGATAATTTAAATTCTTGGATCTTGTAACTAAGAGTTCTAATTTTTGATAAATTAGGATTTAAAATAGAATTTAACTTTAATTCAGTTAAGTTGAGACAAAATAAGTTTCAAATTTTGGAAGAGATTTTTAATTAAATCTCAATCCAACATTTTGAAAATTTAATTTTTCCCATTGTATTTTATTATTGGATTTTAAATTAGGTTAATCTATTCTTTATTAACTCCCCAAATTTTTAAAGTGAAATTTCTTATTGGAAAGAGGTCGGAAACAATACTCTTGTTTCTATAAGGATATTAACATTATTTCGGTTATTTATTTTTATGGCTTGGAAAAGAAAAAGAAATTAAACAAAGACAGAAAACAAAACAAAACAAAAACGAA